GTGAGCCGATCTCTCTCATGGCGAATGTGTACGGAGGCCCAAGCATGGGAAGTGCTGGCTGGCACCAACGCTGAGAGTGCGCCATAACGTGACCTCATAGCTTAACCCCACATCAATGTGTTGTTCCGAGAGACGGCACGATTGGCCGTGACGTCACTCACACAGCGAGACGTGATGCAAGCCGGCTACGAGCCTGACCGGCGAACCAGCCGGTAGAGGTGGGACACAGGCAGGGCGTCCCATACGGCCGGCAGGCGCGGGGTTCAGGCAGTGACGGGACGCAGGCAGGAGGCGCCTTCCATGCAACCGGCAGGGGCGGGGTTCAGGCAGTGACGGGACGCAGGCAGGGGGCGCCTTCCATGCAGCCGGCAGGGGCGGGGTTCAGGGAGGGGGCGCCTGCCTTCCAGGCAGCTGGCAGGTGCGGGACACCGGCAGTGGTGGAGCACAGGCATAAGCGGAGTTCAGGCAGGGGCGGGCACAATCAGTGGGCGCCATCCATATAGCGGCAGCGGCGGGGGTCAGGGGATTTGTTTTTGTTTTGCCGGAGGACAGGCGGGGCGGGATTCTGGCAGGGAGGTCTTCCATGCAGCGCGATATTAGTCATGTTACATTTCAAAGTTGCTGGAGAGACGTGTTCCCCGAATTCCCTGATCTGTGACGCCACCCCCAGCTAGGGTCGTCGGTGATCTCAGCAGGATGGAGGCTGCCGCCAACCGAGCGGAGCGCGACAGCAGGGTGGCGGCCGGTGGGGGCAGGATCGCTACACTGCTTCATCCCCAGCTAAGCGGAGGAGCCGCCAGAGTGGAGGAGCTCGCCGGACCGCTACACTGTCGCACGCCCAGCTGAGCGGAGGAGCCGCCAGAGTGAAGGAGCTCGCCGGACCGCTACACTGCCGCACCCCCAGCTGAGCGGAGGAGCCCGGTGGAGCACAGGGCTCGCCAAATCACCGCATCGTGCGATCAAGGCCGGAGCATCGCCGCTGCACGGTTGCAACCACCGAACTACCGCTCTGGTCCATCGTGATGTTTTAGTATCTACCATGAAGCCATTTGAAAGTGCTAGCCCTCCGCTTACAGCAAAGCATTTCATCGCGTTCCTTTCCAAGGCCCCCATTGACCAGACTGCACTCACTATGCACCATTGTTTCAACTACCGTTCGTCGGCCTCCGTTTTTAATTCCACGTGGAGTATTGCATGATATATTTTTTTCCATTCCCAGTATTTATGTAACGCTCCACTTTTTGTAGCTCCCTGTCTTCATTTCTTATAGCATACCTCATTTCTGGCCCTCGATTCCCATTGTTTAGACCCTTTCCATCAGTCCTGATTCCTGACTTTTCGTCTCTCAGCCTTAATTGCTCAGTGTCGAGTTCTTGGTGCTGGGCAACCAGCCTTAATATCCCCATTCTCTCGTCCCCGTTTGATAATCCCCTGTAATGTGGACGCGGAGATCGCGAGGCCACGCCTTGCTGTGGCCAAATGATGGCTATGCACGGCTTCGGCGGTACAAAAGCCACGATCAGAACTATGACAAAATGTATGGATTCATTCGCCCTTTGTTTTGTTTGGCTTAGTTTGGCTGCCCTGCCTGCTAGGGATTTTAGCGCAGTGGAATACGAGGTGAAAGAAAGAGGGGAAGAGGGACCATGAATCTCCCATTTGTCGCGACCGTTCAGGCATTTCCTCTAGCATGTATTCGGACACAGTCAACTTCATTAATAGTTGGCTCTACTTCTTGAAACGTGTATGTCTTTGTGAAACGGCTCTTTTGGTATGTATGGAGCAGGACAACATAAATGTGATATCTTTCAATATGCGGTTGCACTAAGACGCTATGCTCTATGCAGCACACCTATGCGCTATACGATTTAGTAGCCAGGAGCCACGGGATAGCCTTTCGCTATTCCATGGTTCCCGTGCATAACTCAGCACAGCCGTTTTATGTGTGACACAAGGAGATAATTCGCAAGGTGCCCATGATCGCCAGCCATGATAACCAGCCATGATGACCAGCCATGATGACCAGACATGATGATCAGGCATGAACGACCAGCCATGATGACCGCGCCATGTAGTGCAGTCAAGTCAGGTCGGAGAGCTCAAACGGGGAAATGTTTCTCTTCCTGGGCGGTAAAACGATCATGAAACCGGAGGTGCATTTGTGCGACGGATGCAGTGCTCTGAATATATCAGCTCATTCAAGTTTTCCGTTTTGCTGTGCTAAAATCACGCTCATCATCTCAATATAAAACAGCTGAATAAAGAAAACCCACGGCGGTTTCGGAATAAGAAATTCGTCGTTGAATTTAGACATGTCAAGGACTATCTGGATGCATTGTGAAGACGCAAGTCGTTGGCTCCAGCACCGACATGGTGAGTTGTTGGGCTAACCCCATCATGCGGCCAGAGTCGCCGGGCTTTCGCAAATCGCTCAGCTGACATTTCGTTACAACAGCGTCCCGATAGCGATGCAGGTCACCACTGACCACTCCGGCGCTGCGTCCCAACGGCACATGAACGACTGCCCGTGACTGACATCTGCCGGTAAAGAACGGCATTAATGTACCCGGAATGCATCAAACGTTAAGAAAACGTATTTGGGACCGCTTAAAGCATTATGCATCGATCTGCCGATAAATTCGACGTCGTTACGTGTTTTGCCTTCCACTTAACCCTTAAACAAACCAGTGGAGTCCCGGGGAAAAATCACGTCCCCAATGTATTTAATGTGTGGAGAAGTACCTTCCTGTTACTTTGTGTACTTCGCAGTGCATTAACTGTCGTGTTAACATTAACTGTTACTAACAAAATAAATTAACTAAATTACTAATTAGCTTAATTAACTAACATTAACTGTGTTGTTTGTTTCTCTTCATAACGTTTTCCCATGACGTAAACTGATAGGGGTTCGATACGACAGGACTATTGCAGGTTTGCGATGCGACCTACCATGTCATTTCTTGATTAAGAATGAGAGAGTCTCACGTAAAACGCAGTGGATTGGCGTCGAGGTTCTCTCGCAATTGTCAAAAAGTTGCATGTAGTTACTGGCTAGGTCAATAAATGTCCCCATTATGGCAGACCAACGGTAAAATTTTCCTGATAATCGCACTATTCCAGATCGACAAGCCAGATTCGAAACAATGCCACATAGCAGCATTTAGCATGCAGGGATGTGTTTGTTGTTCAATTCTGAACATTTAAAAGAGTGGTTTTCTGTGCTTTGAACATACTTGTAAGACGTGGCAGTGGCGGCCCACCACGCGCGATTGGCAGATTTGTCCGTTGCCGCCGGCATCCCGCGCCTGCCGTGCATTGTCGTGCAGTGTTTTTTTTAAAGATTTAATCCGAACCCCTTGAATGGATGGATTTCTGAGACCAGGGCTAACGCTAAGCCGTGCTCGCTATGGGAGCCCTGATCCCTACCATCCGATCCCGCAATTCCAGGCAACGGTATAATTTAAAACGAAAGTTTAACGTGCCACAGTGTTCGGCACGATCCGTCCTGCTCTCTGACGTCAGCTGACCTTTCGCGCAGCCACTGCCACCGGCCGCAGGCCACACCTGTCAAGGACAAATAGCGAGCACCTAAAACGATTCGAATTAACCCCGCCACGGTTGGGTAAACCGGAATGACCAACTAACCAATTGAGCCACCGGGATGGAGTGTGCCTGAGAAGAACTTGGTACTCGGAAACTAGACAAGCTAGAGTTACGTACTTTGTGCCAAAACACGCGCAATGCGGCTAAGCACTTCTGAAAACTTTAGGGGGTGGGAGGAGTCGTTTCGCTCTCCCCTCCCCACATCAGCGCAAGGGCTAAGGTAAATCATTTCTTTTGAGCGATCTCCCAGAAAAAGTCAGGAATGATGAGACGAAAACGCATCAAAAGGCTAATGTATGATATCGGATGGGTCGTTGGATCAGTCACATGCCAAGGCGGCCCTTGTAGCCGGCTTCTGACGAAAGGACTTCAGCTGCCAAGCAAGACCGCTGACAGCGAAGCCAGCCAGTCTTGTTACAAACGAAAGGAGTTGGACAATCGAATCCGATGCACAACTGTCACTAGCGTAAATAGCGGCGGTACAACTGCCACTAGCGTAAATAGCGGCGGCACAACTGCCACTAGCGTAAATAGCGGCGGTACAACTGCTACTAGCGTAAATAGCGCCACTATTGCCACTAGCGTAAATAGCGGCAGCACAAGTGCCACTGGCAACAACTGCGGCGGCACAATAGCCACTAGTGTGGATAACGGCGGCACAAACCTGTGTGCCTGAGGGACACAGGTTCGTGTAGCCGGAGAGAGTTTGGTCTGAGTGCCTCAGGCCAAACTCTGCCCGACCTGGAGCACGTCTAGATGTCCAACTCCTTCGCATAGCATGGATAAGATCGCCCAGAGCAGGCGTCAGTTGCAATGGGATTCTCCCATGTCAATGGCGAGATCATCATGGAGGATGCAGGGTCTCTCCCCGGACCACAGGCGGGCGAGGCAGGCGCGCCTCCCACACATCACAAGGCAAGAGCGATTTGGCAATTGACGCCATGAGATTGGCCTCCCAGTTTCGCATGTAAGGATATTTATGCGCCAGCCGTTAGCGAAAACGGCAAGCATATCAGCTGAGAGTGGCAGGCTTCTCTTTTCCGGAAGAAAGCTAGCTGAGCCTTTCATGTGGCTCTCCACTGAGGATATGCTTTTGGCATCGCCATGGGTCAGATTGTGCCCAAAGATTCCGTCTCTCCAGATCGTGCTTTCAAACTGTCTGACAGTATCTGCCGGACAGTCTGCCCAAATTGTATCCTACAGACTGTCTGGCAGTGTCTGTCGGACAGTCTGTTCACACTGTATCCTACAGACCGTCTGAAAGAGTGTCCGTCGGACAGTCTGGCGAAATTACATTCTACAGACTGTCTGACAGAGTGACTATCGGACAGTCTGTCCAAATTATGCCCTGAGCCGGTCTGACAGTGTCTGTCGGGCAGTCTGTTCAGACTGTACCCTCAGACTGTCTGACAGAGTGCCTGTCGGACACCATGTCCCGGTGACATCGGTGCGCACAACACGGCAAACTTTTCACCACATGCACCGAGCCATTCCATTAAGCAATTAAGCACCGCTGAACATGCTTGTTCACTTGGAACAGTCAATGTGCGGCTGAAAAAAACACTTTAACTGTAACTCAAGAGCTTGTGGTTTGTTCCGCACGTCAGAGCCCCACAAAGACGTGGGTCCGCACACCAGACCCGCACAAGTACATGAGTCTGCACACCAGACCGACAAAAGACATGGCTCAACACACCAGGCCCGTGTAGAGGCATGGCTCCGCATACCATGGCTGCATGAAGACATGGGTCCGAACACTAAACCCGCACAGAGACGTGGGTCTGCTCACCAGACTCGGACGGAGCCATGGATGGAGAATACAGCGCACGCGGCCGTGACGGCTCGAAGCATAACATTTCATCCGGCAGACATGATTTGATCAATTTAGGACCGTTAACTGCCCCACGCGAGACTTTTACTGCGTGACTTTTTCGGGGTCATACATTGACGAGAGGTGACCGACAGAGCAAGGGTCAAAGTAGAAACGTCACAGGACGTGGTGGTGGTGGAGACGCAAACGCTTCCTTAGCCGATGCCCTCTATAGTCACCTCACGGTTTGCCTTTCCCGCGAAAAGTGGAGGAGGCACTAGTGGCCACTCGCCCCCCTCCCGCGCTACCATGTTCATGGGATGTAACATGCCGACGGATGGCTGCCGACGAACAGTGGGGCCGCTGCCCAGGCGGCTGGCCCCGCGTCCCCGGCTCTGACGACGGCGCACCCGTGCTGACCACCCCGTCCACATGAACGGGAGCGAGCGGCAGACGCTTACCGGGACCTGGACCGTGGTGCCGTTCCGCACGGTCGGGTACGAGTACAGCGGTACTACCGGGCTTCCGTTCCGGTTCGCCACGACTGGGCCGCGCGCCGCCTCCTGCTTCCCTCTCCGGCCGCTAGTTCGCGCCACCGTCCGGTCGCCGTAGCGCGGGGCGCGGAAGGCGCGCTGGTTCGCGTCGCTGCCGCCAGGTGGTGGCGACTGGACAAAGTTCTGCACCTGGCCGTGCGGCAGGCTGGCGCTGGGGTACTGGTCGGCGTAGTTGGCGTTGCCGCTGTAGGGGTACGGCTGGTACTGGCTGTTGAGGTTGGCAAGCTGGCCTAGCTGCGCTGTGTTCGTGGCCATGGCGCCGTCAGTGCCGCGGCGTCTGCGCTCCTTGATCGCGTCAGTCGTTGCCACCGGTGGTACGACGCCAGGCGGAGGGACTTCACAGAGCAATCTCTGGCTGGAGAACAGGCCGGTCAGGCTCCGGTCGACTGAGAAGCCGTGCGCGGCTGATAGAGAGTTTCACAGAGGTCACCGTTGCTGCCCTCAGCACATTGGCCGTGTTCAACACGCGAGAAAGAACAAACTGAAAGCTCCAAGCGTAGAATCGATGAAGCATTCCATCAGAGACGAGTTTCGTCGAAGGAGTTTTTCTGGATAGTTTTGCTAGGTTATGTGCAAAATAGTTTGGATGGGTGTGCTTGCGAGTTTTGCACAAACATGTCCCAGGCAAACAGGCCATATTTATTTTAAGCAAGCGATATCTGTTGAAAATATATTTAACGCCACAGACGACAAAGCCTCATAATGTGCGCGAATGTTAATCGCCTGTAAAATTTTCCATCCGGGTCGACTTTGTCGCCTCGGCTGTACAGATTGTGGAACGTAACTCCCCCAGCGGTTGGGAAAAAAGGCCCAGCACGAATCAGAGCTATGAATGAATGTGATGTTTGACCTTCGAGCCCTTCGCATGACAGCACATATTACCTTGGGGTTATCAAATCACGTCGATTAACAACAGCATGTAAATGTGAGCATTGGCACGACTTCCAGATGAGGAGTGGTATCTTGGCTCGTTTGACTCGCATAACTAAGGACATCATGACGCTTACATAGAAATATTAGGTCATCACTACTGACGCAACAAACGTATGTAGGGGAGGGGTGTATGTATGCAGATGGCTCAACTACCCATCTGCAGTGAAATGAGAGATATATGAATACAGGAAGGAGCACTTCTAATTAGGCCCACAGCAACTATGGCCGCTGCGGCTTGCAGGGCACTCTTGACGAAGGGAATCTGGTTCGTAGTTGAGGTACTGTATTGTAGCGCAATTTTTACAGTTTTCGTGACAAAAAACGCGACGGTGCTACTGAGAAACAATTTTGCGTCTCAGCACCTAATACGTCGATCACAAATTACCATAATTAGCTTCAAATCTCATTATCAAATAATGCAAACACAGTTTGAAATGGAGCTTGAATCTATATGTCTAGGGTCAATTGTATCTAGAAATCGATATCACAATCTACGCGTAAAATGAAGAGCCATGATACCTAGCAAACCTTCTTTTCCAGCACCAGCTATCAAACAGCGGTCGTGACCAGTGCCGCACGAACGACAGCCTGTATTTTACTTTAAAATTTTAAAGCCAATGAGCTTTCGATCCGGCTATTTCGGATTTAAACATGATAAACAAAACCGCGTAAGTATGGAACTTCAGGCACGTGATGCTGATCGAGCGAAAGCAAAGGTCCGTGTAAACCGCAACCAGTGCGATCCCGCATGAGCACTGCTAAGGGTTTAACATGCGCGTTTCCTATTTAACAACCCGACATCAACTCAAATATTTGAACGCTTGAAAAGTTCATCGGGAGAGCGCGATGCTCAGCATAGATATTCTCTGGTCGCCCACTGCCTTTACTCTATCATCATTACCCCGCTCACATTACAACAGACAGGTCAACGATGATTAATATCTGCTATTTCCGATGCATCGAAGGAGTGAAAGTTTCTGATGAGATAATAGAGCATGCATTGTAACTAATTGCGATCGCGTGCCATGGTACAAGACATTGATATTGCGCTGTCTTCAGCTAGTAATTGGTCTCAAATACTGAAGCCTTCGGCAGTATAAAGCGAAAGGAAGGAAACGAGGTAAATGGGCAGCATGCAGTTTTAGAATACGCTCTATTTACCATATTCCTCAATTACTGATGAATTCTACGTGGGACCATATATAAATATATATTTATATTTATATTTCAGTCATAACACTTGCCGAAACTCGGCCATATATGGATGACCACAGTACTCTCGACGAAGTCTGTATGTATGTGTACAAAGGAAGGTGATATATATATATATATATATATATATATATATATATATATATATATATATATATATATATATATATATATATATATATATATATATATATATATATATATATATATATATATATAAATATTTACATAGATCTATGTATATACGTATACATGTATATATTGATGTTGCTATTTCGGACATAAGCCTTTGCCGAAACTGGCCCATAAAAGGTTGAGCGAGGTTTGTACTCTTTCGGAGAAGGCTTGATATATATATATATATATATATATATATATATATATATATATATATATATGTATATATATATATATATATATATATATATATATATATATATATCTATATATCTATATATATATATATATATGTGTGTGTGTGTGTGTGTGTGTGTGTGTGTGTGTGTGTGTATATCACCTTGGTTTTATTCAACAACGAGAAACAAGGCCAATATAAATGCTCTCATGTATATGCAATGTTAATTACAGCCAAACTAAACAATGTATGATGTTTTGGCTGAATTCAGATCCAGGCATTAACCTGGGTTGACTGCGCCCGACAAAACAACCAGAGTACTTGCTTCAAACTTTTTTACTGATCGTCATGGAAGTGCTCTTAAAAGGACTCAGGAAACTCCGAGGAGCGATATGCATTTATATTGCAAACAAATTCCACACTCCATTCTGCGGAGTTCAAAAATGCTGAGAATGAAAGTAGATTATGGACACGCGTGGTCCCACAAAGTACGCCAAGGCATGCCACCGAACGCGAACGTGAAGTTGTTTGAGACCCGAACACCGCAGCTGCATGCGGACTGGGAAGGAAAACATCAAGTTTTAACTCGCGATTTCATCGCTTTTGATGCTTTCCTTGTTCTAGTCTGGCCTCTGACAATGTCTGCCTGGCTCTTACTATTCTCTTCCGATAATGATCACGACAAGTGCCGAATTTAGCGTCTTCTGTTAACATTGTGCCGATGTCTGCTCCGTACGTCTTGCCACTTCCTCAGCACATGATCAAGGTTGAGATGTTATGTTGGCAGCCCAAAGACGAAGTCAAAGCAAGAGCTGGAGGCAAGGGGAGCGTTTCGAGGCTCTGCACACTTGCAGCAGCTGACGACTACGAACTTTAAACTCTCCCTGTGCACCGCACGCAGGTCCGGGGTTAATACAACAGCCACATTTCAATGTCTACTGCCCACCGTACAGGTAAACCAGGCCTTTTTATGAAAACCATTGGGTGGGGGATACCCAAGCGATATGACCAATCCCAAATATGAATTCATGTACCCCCGAGTCTAGACGCCGCCTCCAATTCAAACCTTTCCTTGAATTAGAGTCACTTTATGAAGAACTAGCCTTCGAATGAAGAACGACAGACAGATGTGACGAGTTGGCCGGTGTATACGCCGGGGCTATACCAACCTAGCGTGCCGATCACAAATCAACGTAATGTAGTTGATTTGTGATCGGCATGCTAGGTTGTGTGAATAACAGCTATTCGGGGTTAGAATAGCTGTGAGTGGAGGAAGCGGGAATTTGTTCGTGCGCGGGGCATCTTCCCGCCGCACTTAGCATGTTCAAAGAGCCTTGAAGCCCTTATGAGGCTCCGCCATGCAAGTTGGAGCATTCCTCTGGGCAAAGTATGATAGGTAGCCTCGTGATCTATACCTTGCTATTGTGTTGCGGGCCGTTTCTTTCCTTCAAAAGTATGCAAAAGTCGTTTTAACCAGCTAAAGCACGAATGGTCTCTTTGTTTTTTGGGCAGGATGCGTAACAGTGGAATTTTTCCAGCGCCTAAACAGTTTATCCCTAGACCGTCGGAGCGATCTGGTTTACGTTAGCGATGCTCTGAAAGCCATCCATCTCACAGCCGGCTGGCGTCCAAACCGGGCTGACCAGGCCACGGCACGAGCCACGCCATCCCCACGGCACGTCTCCCATAACGCCGAACCGGTACCTCTGTGAAACTCTCTATCTGGCGGGGGCGCGTCTCACCCTGCGCGAGCTCTCTCACTGTGTCGCAAGTGTCAGCGGCCGGCGCCGTCGTCAGCGGGCGCGCCCGACTCCACAGCGGCTCGGGCCTATCCAGGAGCAGCGCCGCCTCGTCACCGCACCGCACCACAGCCGCGCGCGCGCACTCTGGCCACTGCCGTCCGCCGTCTGCGACTGATCGGCCGCTGCCGCCGCCGCCGCCGCCGCCGCCAGTGCCACACCGACACGTGACCGACCTGACCTGCGGCGGGGGAGTGCGACAGCCGCCACCGACACCGAGCTACTGCCGGTCGGCGCCGGCCAGCCGCCGGCCGCCACTCCGGCGGACGAAGGTTATGTCCAGTCGGCCACACCCGGCGCCCCGGCCAGCTGGCGCTGGCCGCCACGGCGCACGGCTGGCTAACCGCCGATGTCGATCACGCCCGCCGCGGACGCCACCCCGGTCACGTGGCAAGGGTGGCCAGGTCACGTGGCCAGCACGCGAGCGCCACTGCTGACGGAGAGCCGTCGCTCTTTACAGTGAGATGAGGGTAGGACTCGTCGACACGCCTACTTCCGGTTCGACAGTGAGCAGCGTTTGATATCCGCCAGGCATGGGATGGACAGAAATCTAGACAGAAATCCAGAGTTCACCAGTCCACAGCAAAGCCATACCTCCCGCCTTAGAAACCTGTACTTGCGACAGCACCGCCCATGTCGCCGCACGCCTGCTGCTGCTGTGGGGAGAAGAGAGTTATCTACCGCCGCGCAAGGACATCGGGATGATACGGTGGTTTATAACCCCGGTTAGTCGAGTAATGACGTGGCGATGTGGGACAGGGAGCCAACCAAAACGCCACTGCTTACAGCTCGATAACGCTACACCCATCTAGATGGTCATTAATCGCTCCAGATACAGAGGCAGGTGGAGAGAGATCAGTACAGCTATTCCTCGCCGGTGTAAGACCGGCGCTTTGGCCGCTGGAAACGGCTTGTGCCTGAATTTATCGTTCCGAGATACTGTCGTAGCGTACTTGTTACCACGTGGCATCAGCATAATGCTGCAACGCCGCAGTTTTGCATAACTATGACGTAACAATACCGCGGCTCGCGAGTGCCGTAACGTTACGCTCATCTGCAACGACAGAAGCATACCATTGTTCCACCCGATACGTTTTCGTACCACTACGACCTTTCAACCAAATCAGCCGTATGCAAAACCCGTTATCATGTTGTAATTGCGTATCACGGCACTCAACGTGAGTGCAATCAAACATTGGCTGTATTTTTCTCGGCGGCGTCGTACCCCACAAAATGAATAACATCGCGGCCTAACGAACAGCCTGTGATCTTTTACGGCCCATTCGGGGCGTGGTTCTGTTGACCGCACTCCACCGCGGAGTAGATCAAGGTGAGCGCTAAAGATAAGCCAGCACAAAATACATCCAGGCGTATCCCTTCGCAATGGCTTGCATCAGTGTCCCACTGGTATCTCTGCCAAGAATTTCCGCCCGCATAACAAGGCTGAGTGCATAAGTATGGGAAAGCACGAAGTGGGCGTGCCGGGCAACAGCAAACGTGGCTGGGCCAGCGGGGTGAACGCGTTACAGCTGCGGGTAACGAATGCAGCCCGGGTCAGCCTAGCCCGCCACGGGTCATGCCTCTCAGCTGACAGCAGTCTGTCACGGCTCTGTCAGCCTCCCCTGTCAGGACTCACGCTCGTCAGCTAGCAGCCATCTGTCACGGCTCTGTCAGTCCCGTCTCTCATGACTCACTGTCACGACTCACGTTGGTCAGCTGACACCGGTCTGTTACGGCTCTGCCAGCCCTGCCTGTCGCGACCCACGCTGGTCAACTGGCAGCGGTCTGTCACGACTCTGTCAGCTCCGCCTGTCACGGGTCAGGTTAGTCAGCTGACGCCGGTCTGTCACGACTCACGCCGATCAGCTGACAGCGGCCTGCCACGGCTCTGTCAGCCCTGCCCTGCCCATGGGCACGGACGGTGGCAACGCAAGTGCCACACTCGCCTCACGAGGCCTCGACGGCTGCTCGCCCGCACGATTTGGAAATTCCCAGCGACAGGTGTGGCGCTGCTGGACGCCGTAGTGAGAAGGCCAAATGCTCGCAATGTCACGGCGGACGCTTGTGAGTGACCACATTCGCAGATGCGCTCGAGAAGGACGTGCTCAATGCTTGAGCGCTTAACGTGTTTAAGGTCATGTTTAACGCCGCCACACAGCAGTACTGTGCTGGGCAGACACAGCGGCAGGGGGCTACAGTTGTCGTCAGATGGGGGTTTCTCCACACGCTGCCATGCTGCCAGTTGGCCAGTCGGCCATTCGGCCGGAGCAGGCCAGACCAGCTCCGTAGCACCCTTGACACGAGCGATCCCGGAAGTGGCAGTGGAGCTTGCTCTCGTGTCTGCAGTTCATTGTGTATAACTGTAGACATGACGGGAATGCCAGGCTCACTCCGTCCATACCGAATAGCCACTTTTCACCATTCCACAGTCGGCTTGTTTCGGTCCAAGCTTATTAAGGTCCTTCCTCTCATTATTTCGACCCCATCTCCCTCTTTCTCTCACTCACTCTCCTCAACTCTCTCTCTCTCTCTCTCTCTCTCTCTCTCTCTCTCTCTCTCTCTCTCTCTCTCTCTCTCTCTCTCTCTCTCTCTCTCTCTCTCTCTCTCTCTCTCTCTCTCTCTCTCTCTCTCTCTCTCTCTCTCTTCTCTCTCTCTCTCTCTCTCTCTCTCTCTATCTCTCCCTCTCTCTCTATCTCTCTCTCTCTCTCCCTGTCTTCCTCCCTCCCTCCTTCCCTCCTGCCTCCCTCCCCATTTTTCATTCCTTCTTTCGTTCCTTCCTCCCTTGTTTTCTTTCTTTCTTCCTTCCTTCCTTCTTTCCTTCCTTTCTTTCTTCCTTCGTTCTCTCCCTCCCATCGGACAACGAAACAGGTGTAATTGAGGCACTTACGTATGGAAACTGTCAGCAACTTCTTGCAATGAAACTAAATCACACCTAAAAATATGCCGTCGAATTTTAATACGCCGCACATGGTTTCTCGTATTACTTATGGGTCAGGAAGTTACGCTTCGTGCGCTTGTCGCAATGCCATCACGGCTCTTTCACGAATGTATAACGTATGGTCCCATTCGTGCAAGATGTCGGTGGGATGTCCAGCACAAACTTGTGGATAATTGTATTTTCTTATTTGACGGTGTCATCATGAACTACCTAAATTGCTACTATCACATCATAATTACATGACCGTTATCGGCAAACGCGGCTTTCAAAAACTGTTCCGGAAAACGCATTGGCGTACGCGTTGTCCGGGTTTTCGGCCACGAAATCATTTGTAACCTCTCGAATTAGTCAAATTACTCTTCCAAAATCATTTTTAGCGGAAGTGTTTTCCCAACTTTCAAAAATATTCAGGGTAACTCTGGGCATTCTTGTAGCAAACATGCAAACTCATACAGAATGCTTGTGCAGACACACAATAATGATGACCGGACGTGTCCACAAATGCGGGCGAAGGCTGGTATTTACACTGACAAGCCGGGGCAAGAACAACATGTCATTCAGCCAATAATGCTCAGCCACTCCGCAGACCGGTCCTTTAGGCTGGCAGCTGCCTTGCCGTGCCGATATGGCCACGCACAAATAGGCACAAATAGGCACGCACAGGTGCCAGGCACAAAGAGGAGGTGTATCGATCGTTTTTGAAACTCCTAAATTTCGTTATATTTTATTTTCAAAGAGGCCCGGAAACTTCTTGTCACGAGTGTTGTTTTCATCAAGCCATGTCATCGCGTTATGAGCTCTTGCTACATGGTCCCGTGCTTTGATCTAAGAAACATGCAAAGAAAATGTCCACGTGACACGCGGTCAGTTACTCCTGGCGAGCAAACACAGCGACAGACAGCGTCACACAGCAACACAGCGACACACAGAGGCACCCACAACACACAGCAACACGCAGCAACAAACAGCGGCATGAAGGGACACACAGCAACATACAGCGACGTACAACGACACAAAGGGACACACAGCAACGCACAGTGACACACACCGACATACACCACACAGCAACACACAGCGACACATAGCGACACAAAGAGACACACAGCAGCACACAGCGATACACAGCGACAAGCCGATCAGCCACCCGTGGCAAGCCCACACAGCGACACGCAGCAACACACAGCAACACACAGCGACACACAGCGACATACAACACACAGCGACAACAGCGACACAGAGGGACACAGCGGCACACAGTGATACACAGCAACAAGCTGATCAGCCACCCTTGGCAAGCCCACACAACAACACACAGTAACACACAGCGACACAGCGACACACAACACCCAGCGGACACAGTGACACAAAGCAACACACAGCGACCACACAGCGAACATAGCAACACACGACACACAGCGACCCGCCTGTGAGCCGTCGGCGTGCACAGTCTGAGCACCATCCGTTAATCCTAATCCTAAATGAACAGCAATCGGATTAATGCAGGGCTTTTCAGAAGAAATTTACCTTCAGATCTTAAGAACTCGTTCTTAAGATCTAAATCAGCATCGTGCGGCGTTCCAGTACAAGATTATGCAGATGTTTGACCATATATCGCAGGCTATTAGCCCGAGGCCGCCTGTAAGGAGCAATGCCACTTCCGAGTTTCGGCAATGACTTCAAAATGTGGAACTAAGTTTATGAAACGTGCAGCGTGTGATAAGTGAAGAGTTTTACTCATGTTGGAGTAAAGACGATCTTTATGTTGGTTTGGTTCGTCAAGTTCTAACGCTATTAAAGGGAATGTTTCACATTTGAGCATATTGAGGCAAGCATCAAATGTGACGAAAGGAGTTCATTTGTGGCTATTGCTACACTTTTAAGTGAAATACGCTGCACTACACAAAACCATTTCTCTGTTTATTAAATGTGCTTCTTACTAGGTCATTGGTTAATTACGCCCTCGTACCTTGCAAAACATTGACTGAGCGCCACTTGACGGCCGTTATATCGATTGCAAGTCCGATTTCTGTGATAACTAGGAAGAATGCTGCATTCTGTAGCACAAAACGTATTTCACGTTAGAATCGTACCTGGTAGTTGGAAGACCACAACAGTGATTGAGAGCCACTTGACAGCCGGTTTATCTGGAAATCGCCCTCACCAATGCCAGATATGAGCGACTTGACAATCATGCTTTTCTTGGCCTTCATCACCGCATGGCTAATGGAATGACAGCGTTTGAATGTCGTTATCATAGCGCCATG